CGAAATTTCGGATTAGTAATCCGAAATAACGGATTACTAATTCGGAATAACGAATTACTAATTCGAAATTTCGGATTAGTAATCCGAAATAACGGATTACTAATCCGAAATAACGAATTACTAATTCGAAATTTCGGATTAGTAATCCGAAATAACGAATTACTAATTCGAACTAACGAATTACTTAATTCGAAATAACGAATTACTAACTCGAAATAACGAATTTGTATTACAAAATTACTAACTCGAAATAACGAATTACTCTGAGTGAATTTTCAAGAGCCAGTACACATGTGACAAAGATGTGTTTGATCTTTGTTCGATATTGATGAGAGAAAGACAACTGTCTCAACCAAATAATCCTGAAGAGAGTCTGTATTTGTATAATGTTTTACGAATTGCAATAACTGAATTACTTTGAGAATGAAGCTGGTTTTTTTTTCTCAATAAACAGTGTGTACAGTAACTGGTACAACAAAAATTACTGCAACAAAAAAGATTTAAGTTTATACATAAAAATATTAAAGAAAAACATAGGCCTATAATTATTTTCAGCTGTCTCGATTTCAATGAAAATATTTTTTATTAATAATGCAAAAAAAGACATTATACAGTACACTATAATTTATGATAAACTATACTTTTTTTTCCAGTATAGCTCAGCAAGACATAATCACCATACTAATAGCTATTTATTGAGATCCTGTGTAAATACTGCTTTTTTTCTTTTCTCACTGTAGTAAATAATGAATAGATTATTAAATACATGCCAATATTAAATGGACAATTATGTTAGTTCTTTTTATTTGTAACAACGCTATTATGACAGCATGATTCATGTGTTCCTTTCAAAATTACTGAAACCGAGTGAAAACTAGGGCAAGACGTTACGGCGTCCCAACTCTCTCATAGGCCTACGTCCTCGCTCCTGAGTAATTCGTTATTTCGAGTTAGTAATTCGTTATTTCGATTACTAATCCGAAATTTCGAATTAGTAATTCGTTATTTCGAGTTAGTAATTCGAAATAACGAATTACTAACTCGAAATAACGAATTAGTAATCAAAAATAACGAATTACTAACTCGAAATAACGAATTACGGTACTAATTCGAAATTTCGGATTAGTAATCCGAAAAAACGAATTACTAATTCGAAATAACGAATTACTAATTCGAAATTTTATTATTTTATTACATTTTGATGATTTTATATACTTAAGTGGCACGAATAGGCTTTCGTATAAAATAGCTCAATCTATAGGCAATTTATTTCTGGACAAGGCGAACCGACGTACGTACTTTACCCAGCCAACAAGACATTAATTTTAGTGTTGTTAAACACGTTTCATTTATATAAAACCTGTATACGAAATGTTGCTTCATTATTGTTTTCTTTCTTTCAAGTCTCTACCCATATAACAGACCTCAGTCAAGTCTCACGCTTCTCACAGGAGTCCCATGCATTTAACTTCGACCTCGATCACGCGAGGCATACCGTACTGTATATTCTCACGCTTTCCAGAATTTCTTCAAATTATATTTTTTAATGTGCTATTTTCTCAAAACAAGCATATACAGTCACAACATGTACGAACACGACGGATCGGCGCTAGCGATCCTGTAGCGATTGTCACCGTTCGACGCCGCCTCAGCAGAAACTTAAGAAAAATTATGGGATATCAAAGTGTCGCTTCGTATCAATGTAGTCACTGTGAAAGGTGTATGTTATATGGTTATATCGACGTTTGACAATGTCAAAATTTTTATTATTATAATAAATTTATTAAAGTTTTTTTCACAACTCTTGGTGTACTTATTTATTATTTATATTACATCTACATTCATAGCTTTAGGTACTATGCTACTAGTTGCAATACTTTGTCTTTTTAATTATTTCTATATTTATTATTTAATATCAGTATCAGTTTATCTTTGTATTCGTGTTATAAGTGTTATGTACTTTATTATTTTCCTTATGGCTTGCTTATGAAATGAAATCTGAACATCACCATCATCATTATCATCATCATCATCATCATCATACACTAATTATAAATCATCATCATCATCATCGTCACAACTTTGTGGTTTGTCGCCCCCTATAAATAATTTTACCTCGGCTGAACCGTTTTCTGTGGCCTCATCATTAATTAAATACTATATGCAGTGGCTAGGTCACGTTCTTTTGTTGATGCCCGCTTAAAATCTACCTCAGATTGTCGGCATATTTATCTCGCTACGTAATCCAGCTACTGCTGAGCAGTTCTTATTATGCAAATAAGGGTTCCTCTGTTATGCTAATGAGCCGACCAGAAATGTAAACGTTAGATGTACAAGATGGCGTTGGTTCGGTGCTGTTTAGTACTCAAATTCAGACGTTAGTTACCTCAATTTAATGGCCAAATTCATTGGGAAAATATGCAAGGAAGAAGCTATGCTGAAATGCCATTGCCACCAGGGTGGGAAGAGGCAAAAGCAGCGGACGGAAAGACATTTTACATTGATCATTATAGTCAAAGAACTTCGTGGGTTGACCCTCGCGACAGGTGAGTTGAGCCGTAGATACGGACAGACAGGAAACGAGTTCATCGACCAAAACAATGCAGTTGTTTTGGAGAAGGAAACGCTCGGGGGGCCTAGCCATAGATCAAAATGTTCAGTTTTATTGTAGTTTATTTCAAACAGTTTATAATTCCAAGATATATATGTATAGCAATTTTTAGACAATCTATAATACATATGCCTGTTGCATACACTGAATAACCTGTTGATTTGTATGGAAAATTTGTGACTTCACTACTGTTTCTACCAGTGTCAGGCTAGGCACCAGGCAGCCTTCCCGGGTACGGTTTATAAATATACCGAGGCTAGGGCCTACTACTATCGGACCACCTTACTATACATACTAGGCCCAAGCTTAGTAATCATTGTAAATTGTTTTAATCATGAATGTTTATTATACTGTTTTCAAATATTTGTTGAATGTTTTTATACTTAGTGATTATATCGTATTTATTCTCTCTGCCCTGTTTATTGGCACTCCATTTAATTTATGCTGTTGGGTGACAACATGCTGTTGGGAAACAAGATAACATTAAATAATAAATAGATAAACCTAGCCAATATTACAATGGGTTTTGTACAGCCATAGAGGTGTTACATACATTTCAAGACAGTTCACAAACATTAATAATGTTCCTGTTATATCAGTTTGTATGGAAATAGACACTATCTACTTCAGTGTTTTAACTGTACGATAAACAGATGATTGTACGAGGAGGTTTTAGACTTAAATAGTAATAGTAATACTTAATGTACTGTATAGTAGTATGATATGAAAGACAAAGAAAGTAATGAAACAAATTATAAGTCATCTAATTCTATATTTTGAATTATTTGTTTGTCTCCTGGAATGAATATTCCTGAAGATTTATTCCACATAATTTATAGGTTTTTAATATAAAGTTTAAACGAATAACAGTGACTTAAATTAATATATTATTAATTGATAATAACAGTAGATTAAAATGTATTGTAAGTGAATATATTTCTAGTGGAAATATTATTTGTACTGTAAAAAAAATATATTAAATCAATCACAGAATAATAATTCTGTACTAATAATAACAATCTGTAATAATATTATAAAAGTTTATAATTTTTCAGTTGAAATTGCTTATCCAGTTTATTAGATTATCTCTAAAATTTTGACAGTTTTCAACACCCGAAGACTCTCCTACGAGGAAGTCTTTCATTCATAGGCCATTTTGTCTGGATTATTTTGTAACAGCGCCGTCAACGTCTCACAATTCAATGTGGGGACTTCCAGCGGCCTAACCTGAGCAGCTGGCTTGTTACGCATAGAGCACAGCGGAACGGATCCCGCCACCAGACTTTTGCTATAACAGCAGTAGATAACACATGCGATCATGCTAAGTACTGATATGTAAACATTGAAATACCTTTTTGAAGAGGACTTGTTTTTTATAAACATTTCGTTTTTTTTTTACCTTTTAAAATATTTGTGCTCATTAGTAATTTAGTTTTATTGTATAATTTTTGCATGATGGGCCATGATGGGAACTATATAGAGTGAAATTCTAGGCTTCTGGAAGTCCCCCCAGTGGTGGTTGCCAGGTTATCAAAATTTTCATTTCAAATTTGGCGAAAATGGTGTATGCCAAGAGGAATGTTACTAGCACCAAAATTATTTTGACTGAATTTTTCATGATCTAATAATTAGTATTTAATTATAATTTAATTTTTAATATTAAATTAAAATGCTATACTAATGATAAACATTAGGCCTACAGTAATGAATTAAATTATTTGGACTAATTTTTCATGATCTACAGTATTTTATTTAATTTATTTCTTGATAATAAAATTAAATGCTATACTGATGATAACACATTACTGTAATGTATTAAATGTTTACATCAAATTATTGTGTTGAAACTATCCCATAAGTAAAATTCTTAAAACATTATCGATAGTTTTTTCAAATACAGTATTATAAATTATCTATTTGACCTACTAAAGATAAAATTCCATTGATTTTGTACACCAATAATAGATAAGGCCTGATTTCATTAACCTAAATAATTGCATGACGCTTATGTGCGCTGTAGGCCTATACAGTATACCAAAGGTTGATATTTCAAGACTATGCTAATATATTAATCTTGATTGATGATGTTTACAATTATTGTAGTTCATTTCCATTTGAACATTCCAGGGATGGTCAAAGCCCAGGTGAATGTCAATGACACATCTTTCACTGGCCCCAACTGCAGACTTAGTTTTTATAATTACCCTACTGTATGAGAAAAGATATATTATGTTGGAATGTGAGGATAAATTTATACAGCTGCCAGTATGTTAACTAAGTATTTGCCTGAAGTGCCTGTATGGGGAATATTCTCTATAAGAAAGAAGTGTTTGGCACATCAGTTGTGGCTTGGACTCCCGACCTTGAGGTCAGGGGTTCAATGTATCACCTGTGCAAGTCTCTTGTGTTCTTGGGCAAGACAGTTTTTCTACATTTGGTCTCTCTCTCTACCCAGGAATACATAAGTGGGTACCTGGTACTAGGTTGGGATGTCATGGCATTTATTTGCTAGTTTTCTGTGCTGAGTACACGCGTACGAATAGACTCTTCAGAGAGTGGAGAAGGTTGTACCACAGTACTTTTAGGCCCTATAAAAAATATTATTAGTTTATCACCCTATCTGAGCAGGAAAAGTGATGAGGGAGGGAGGTTTTTTTTTAATTCTTTATTTTGCTAAAGCCAAATATCACCCTGGGGTTGTTTGCTGATGCGTTGATTTTCAAAGTAAAACATGATTTAGATAATGCAAACAATATCTACTACCTATTTAATAAAATAAATGAAAAAAATTAATAAATAAAATAAAAAAATTCAAAAAANNNNTCTAAAAAAAAAATTTTTCAATTTTTTTTTTTTTTTTCAGTACCATAAAAGGCATACGCATGAGGGTGATAAACTAATAATTTTTTTTATTGGGCCTTATGCTGTTTTGGTAGTAGTATGTTATCCAGTCACCAGGGGTAATAATACTTAGCGCCTTTGATCATTGATTTGGAATTGGCGCCATATAAATTTTTTAGCGTTATGACAATTATTATATTTTTAGGCCTGATTCTTAATATCATAATATAGCACTGGATTTTTAATTGTAAATTTTGTGACCAAAACAAATTAACAAAATAGTAGAAATCTCTCTACTTAGCATAAAGCTGCAATTACACCAAATCCAAATTTTTGAACTGGTCAGATAATCAAATCAGAGTGCACGTAAGAAATACAGAGACGCTAGCGTTCATCACATCAGAAAAGCGCTTCGAATATCGGGTTTGAATCCGATGTGAATGCAACTTAAGCCAGGTTTCAATTATATTTTTGCTAGTTGAAATATGTTTTTTTTTTTTTTTTTATTAATTTATTTGATTTAAATAAAAAGTTTATATGATGTGATTAGATACAAAAAACGAACATAGATAATAATTGTTAAAGACATGATTGCATGGTTTTGATTATGAAATCCTCTGTTTATTGGTGGGAATTCCTTAACTAGACCTTCCCATACATTAGGCCTCCTTGGTATTTTGGTAATTTGTCTTAGTAGACAACTGAGTTATAGGAATTCTTAATGGAATTCCAAACCAAAGTTGAAGAATGTTCACTAGTTACAGTAATAATATAATATAGGTGGCTGCCTATGTTTAAAAATAATTTTATCTTTAAATTATATTCTGAATAAATTTTTCAACTAATAATAGAGGTATGAAAAAATTAGGGAAAACGATACATTTCATTAAAAAAATATTATGAGCTCTTAATTTGAGTCAAAATGTAAAAAATCAAATTTTAAAAAGTTATAAAAGTATTCAAAAAATATATAATAAAAATGTTTCTTTTGTACAGTACAGTAGGTCTATTTTTGTTGTTTATTAAAATCCTATTTATAGTAAATATTTAGATAATGAAAATGATAATTTAAAAAAAAGCAAATTTAATAAGCCAACAAGCTAAAATTGATGTGCTGACTGTCCGTCCATCTGTCACAGTATTCCTCCGTAGTTGTCTATGCAGCATTGACTCGCTAACTTTTTAACATACCTGCTGTAGTACTATGTACTATGTACTGTAGTAGTAGTATTATATTACCATGTGAAACAAGTAAAATCAATTACTCTTGGTTAATTTTATCGCATGTTTTATTGTGTCTGAGATGTCTATTATACTGTACATGTTTTCATCTGTCTCAGCACATTTAAATGAATGACAGCGGGAAGAATGGAGTGAATTATGTCCAATGTTGAAGTATGTTGATTGGTTGAAAATCAGTAACCTGTGGAATGCATCCTATAACTGTGGTTACACTGTTAGTGTATGTACATACTAGATCCAATGTGACTGTTTATCTTGTTTCAATTACTGAAATTGGTATACTTTCTAGTGTGAAAAATGTTAGGCCTATTTACTTAGTGTTCTATAGTAATTAGTGGAATAGATTAATACTGCAAATCCCTATACTAATAAATTATTCTGTAAAGTTTATTAACTGGAATGTATTATAAATCATTAATAATAAAAAATATATTTTAATTAAATAATAAAAGTTTAAACTATAAGTTTTCTATTTTGCTTACCAGGTTATTCTCTGAACATTCTTTTATTTAGTACAGTAGGCATACACAATATGCTTTTAGTTCAAGAGGAATACAGTATTTGAAATGTAAAAAAAAAAAGAAGAAAATAAAAATATGTTACTAATTTATTTAATTTTTATCTAGGTATTTGTAACTTTTTTTTTTAACTTGTGTTGTACATCTTTACCTTTCGACCTTGGGGTTCGATTTCCCCCCTCCCCAGGTCTCTGTAGACTCTGAGTAATTCCTAAACCATTTAGGACCCAGGCCTGAATTGTAAGCTTTGTAAATTATCTTAGATGACAACTGGTGAACTTGAAGAATTATTTGTACAGTGCTTCACTTTATAAAATGAAAATTAATTTATATG